TTGCGACTGCGTGAGTGTTCACGACGTAGAACATCCTGATCAGTCGCCCCAACATAGTATGGTGTGTGCCATGGGGAAAGTCGAATGTAGACGCACGGTTGTTGGTGATGACCTGGATCATGTATGAAGTCGTAGAGGTCAGGAAATCGCGCCCGCAATGAGCGTAGATGTCGCGAGTCAGCGAAAGTCGAGTGCATGATTTCACACAAGAGAGAAGTCTTGTAGAAGTGAAGGACTTCGAAGAACGGCGGGAGGTAGCCGTGATCCTGTGAAATGAGACGTTGTAAGAAACTGATCAATAAATAGGCAGCGCACCGACATCTGTGAAGTTCATACCTGTTGGCCACGGTGTGCTGAGAGTTGGACATGGCGCAATTCGGAATCTGGAGGGCTATCCGGACCACAACTAAGACCTCGAGGATGAGACCCAGCCACGGCAATTGTGTGATGGATTCGTACTCCTCAAGTGGAATCGACGGTGGTGGTAGTCCAGGGAAACAGTAATGCCAGCACGTCGAGAATGTAGTCAACGAGTGCAGAAGGTCGTCCAGCGACTGCCATTGTGCAACATCATCATAGATTCCGCAGTGGCGAAGTTCATCCAACATGGTGAGATGCAACCAACGAAATCTACCACAAGGCGGCGACATAAATACAAGCATCTCAGACAATCACACAAGAGGCAACGCAAGAACAAGCAAGTACAAGATCAATCATGTGCAACGCAAACACTTGACGGACGAATTTTCACCTGGACTCATCCGTGACATTGTTGCCGCTCCGGGCTCATATGAGATCGAAGGTCGAAATGATGCCTTCTCATCCACAAAGCAGGCGAGCGGTCACGATGAGGTGACTCAATGCCTTCTCGGTGAGTTTGGTAAGGTACCCGGGTTCAAGACCCCATAATGCTGCCATTGCACCGAGTGTGGGCGCATCGCCCTTCGGCATGCGCTGCCTGGCCTGAAGAAGCTGCGTCGCCATAGAATCTAATGACTTGTTGCCGTTGAGCCGGGACGGGTGATTGGCCCACTTAACCAGCGACGCCAAAGTGGTTGTTGTGGGTGATTGCTTGAGGAAAAGGCGAGGTTGGTCACTGGTCCATGTGTAGTACTTGACAACTTCATCCGGCGTGCTGTGCATGGTGAGCAACTGTGACGCCGCCGGTTTGGACGGCGGTGACGACACTCCGTGAAGAGACTGCATGATCCGAGGTTGCACCACGCTATCAAACGACTTGCCATCCAGGGCGGCCGCGCTGGCTGTGGGAAGGGAGCTGGCAGGTGACGAGGATGGTGTGTGGTTGACCGGTGGCGGTGTAACCAACTCTGCATCATCTTTCTGATTTGTCATCGTGGGCGAGGTCGATGCGCGAAGTGATGCGGAATACTGAGCTTGGAGAAGTTCATGCGCACGATTCAAATCATTGAACTTCTTGACCATGTCATCATTCTGGGCAGCAGGTGCGAGAGAGGTGTGATGTTGTTGAAGAAATTGAAGTACCAGGTTGGCCAAATGGTCGTGGACCTTGATGCGCTGATTGAAGTCATCAATGTTGAGACCCAACGTGTTGGCAAGGTCCTTTTCCAGGGTGAGCAGGTTGAGTGACTGCGATCTTCGTAGTAATTTGGAGCATGTACTCCAAAGTAAGGCCTCAGTGCGAGTGCGAAAGCCTTCCCACGTCACGAATCGGCCGTGTGCAAACGGCCTGAGTAGCCAGTTGGTGAGGCCCCCGTGGATAACCTGAACCAGGCGTACGTCCCTAATATCCATGCCTGACATGTCGCGAAGGTTGCCATGTGGAGTGTTGGCAACAGTCATGGGCAGGCTAAAGTTGTAGAGTTGGTTGACATCAAACATGCCGTCTGCAGGTGTCCAGTCAGGCGAGGGAGTAAGCCAGGCTTTCTGAGGACGAACCGGTAGAGCTGTAGGAGGTCCAGGTGAAGGTGTAGGTGTTGGGAGGTAGTGACCGGTGGTGGCATCATTGGTGGCATGAACTTGGATGGCGTGGGTTCAGGAGGGATCGGCATCATGTAGTTGATCGCCGGGTATTGGAATTGCTGTGTGGGGTTGTGAGTCGATTGAAAGTTGGTAGGCACCATCGGAAAGTTGTTGGCAGCGTTGTAGCCGGAGTTGTGTTGCCATGAAACCAAGTTGTTCCAATCCATGTTCTCCGAGACCTGGTTGTCATTGTGTTCGCGTCGGTGTGCTTTACGAGCTTGAGGGGAAGGACTCCGATCACGTCTGCGTCGAGTCCTGGATCTGTCACGATCATCACGTCGAGACATGGTGACGCAACTAAATCGGAATTTGCACACTTCCACCTTGAGAGAAACGAATCCGACAAAATGCAAGTCAATGCAAGTTCAAGTCAGCGGCGATCAGT